CCCCAAAACCCCAAAACCCCAAAACCCCGCATTCTCATAACATGTAAAAATTTATAATTCATTAGTTATTAAATTAATTGTTAACGGTATATTATATTTGATGTAGATATTTCTAAAATCGAGACTATTTTCTTTGTTTATTGAGAAGCAACTGATATGTAGGTTGCTGCAGCAGTTGCTAGTTCTAACTTTACATCAGTGTGAAAGACCCAATAATTCCATATTCGTTTCCAAAAGGCCTTAAGGTGCTGCTTCCATTTTATTTGTACTCATTTTAGTACTACTATTACCAATGCTCATAAAAAGAGCCAAGCTTTTTGTGGAATTCATCTATTTTTTTGCTTACTCCTTTATTAGATTGTGGAAGTTTATAGCTGACATCAGCATTTTGAATGTTGGTGTTTATTGGTTCTAGATAGTGTTTAGTATCCAGCACAGAGCCAATGCTTTCCCTATTCCAACTTGAGTCTTCTTCATGTTCTAAATTGTCATTTTCTTCAATTACTTGACTTGTCTCATTTGTTTATTATGCTGGCTGAGTATTCTGTACAAGGGAAGATAATGGAAGAGATGGAGTGTTACTTGAGTAGCTGAGATTATTCTCAGTGCCCATTTTGAATTTGTTCTTTAATCTTGGTTTAATTTCTCTTTTCAGCTATTTAAGCTTTATTTCTACTGAAAGTCCATTGCTGAAGAAATTATTTAGAGTTTTGTAAAGGTCATCATCAGGAAAGTTTGCAGTCTAAGTTCCTTATTCCTTTTAAACATCTACTTTCTCATCTGAATTCTAAAAACTATTATTATGCTTGTGATTATCATTCAAATCATTCATTGAGGCATCTTAGTTGAGTAAGTCAGGCTTAGTTATCTGATCTAGCTGAGACCTATTCTATGCTCTTAGGCTATAATCCGCATTTAAATATGATGAATTATCTTTCTTGATTTTTTTACTAGTAGGCACCTGATTCAAACTCTGATTTCTAAGTTTAGAAATTTGCAAGTTTTGCTGCAATTAGATTTATTGTAATCTCGACACACCATTTATTTTTATTTCTACATCTATATCTCTATCAGATTTAGGTATTTGCTTTATATTCAGCTCCTCGTTTAATCCCTACATCTTTTAACTCTAAGAGAATATATTTTATTTTAGATTAGCACTACTTGGGTTAGTCTTCAGACTAAGACTGTTATCTCTGATTTACTTCAGTATTTATCTGTTCGTTTTTTTACGGATTTGTCTTTTAATTTCATCCGATTATTCCGCCCTTCGTACATTAATGTCCTGGTTACTATTATCTCTAAGCAGGAAGAAACTGCCCTTTTTACTTCCAAAAGGGTTTTTATTCTGGTCTTGCAATTCATCTCAGTTAGTGTAGTGCTCAGAAGCATTAAGCCCGTTATTAGACGGTCTCTTTTAAATGCTGAAGCTTTGATTTTTAGATCTATTAGCCGAGAGTGAGTTGCTAATGTCACCATTTTTATCACCTTTTAATTCTCCACCACTTAGCCCACTTTAATTGAGAAGCATTTCATGTGGATTCTAGTACTCATTAAAGGAGTCATCGCCATTTTAAACGTATTTTATATTGATATCTGGCAAGAGAATGTTTTTATCATTCTAATTAAGACTGTTGTTATTGTTATATTTCTATATTTTGAGAAAGCTCAAGCCGCTCTTAGATTAAGAGTGCATCAGATATTGATTCCTTCTCTAATTAAACTCTTTCATTTTATCCTAATTAAATTAAATAATTAGCTTGATTATTGATGTAATGCACTGTGTAAAAATCTTAATCTAACGGGGTTTTGGGGTTTTGGGGTTTTGGGG